AATTGGTCAAAACAGAAACAAAGCTATATAGTGTATGCTGTTAAGTAGCAGGAGGATTGCCATGATGTATACATCGGGGAAACCAAACAACCTCTGACTATCAAAAGGGCCTGGAAGCCTGTATTTAACTGCAGACTCAAGTGCAGAACCAAACGCAGAGACAACAGAGTAACTTTTGTACAAACTTCTACATCTACAATCGTAGAGTTAAAAAAAATCCTAAACATCAACTCCATTAGCAATAACCCAATCATCCTTAATGGACGTCCTCTGGAGGAAGTACACTCTTTCAACTAACTGGGCGGCATCATCGACCAGCAACGTGGAACCGATGCAGATGTCAAGGCAAGGCTCAGCAACGCAAGAGTCGCCTTCATCCAGCTCAAGAACATCTGGCCTTCCAGAGAGCTGACCGAGACTACCAAGATCCAGAGATGGGCAGTAACGCGTTACTTGTAATGCGTTACTGTAATCTGATTACTTTTTCAAGTAACGAGTAAAGTAAGGGATTACCATTGCAAAAACGGTAATTAGATTACCGTTACTTTCCCGTAGGAATGCTGCGTTACTGCGTTACTAAAACCGTGATTTTTTTGCCAGAATGTCTCATGACAGTGACGTAAGCGAGTGCGACGTTCGTGACAACAGCTGTCTGCAGATCAACAATGGATCATATATCAAGTCCGGGAGAGAGTATGAGCATGCAACGTTTAAAGCTTGGAAGTACTGACCTTACTTTGAGTTTGATTCCATAAAAAGTGACAAAAACATTAGCGTCCATTGTGGGTGGGAAGAAAACTTCTTTTTACACCGAAAAAAACCCTATACAAGCTCTGAGTGCGCAACGACGTAATGGGAAATTCACAGAGAAACTCGCGGATTCTTCCACTGACCGCTGTGCCACACCTGCACCAGAGCACACCTCCGCCTACCCCACTCCTGCTTTACAGGTGAAAATAGAGCAACAGGACTGCTAGTCTTTGATTTTATTTATTTTCTGCTGTGTTTTACTTGCATCTATTTGAAAGACTGAGTGTAAACACAAAAACTATTTTATTTTATGTGCTGGAATGTGCAGAAAATAGGTTTAAATGTTAAACTAATTTCTTCAAGTCAGAGAATGTTGCATATAATTTAATTTTTGCTTGATGCATAAAGTTAAAAGATTAAAATTGGCATTGACAGATCGATCACTTTTATCAACCTCTTTCAGTTTCAAACGGTTCAAGATTCTCTTTATTTAGTCCACAAGCAATTACATCAATACACCAAGTCCAGAAACACACCATGTGAAAGTAAAACTAGCCTGACAACCGCTCCTGCGCACATGTGCAAAAAAACCATTGGGAGGGAGTGAAGAGGGGAGGTTGCTAGACAGGAAGAACATATGCGTTATCTCTATGCTATCCTGTTCATGATAGTTACTATATCTATTTCCCATACTTTATTACTTACATATATGTATATATATATAATACATAATAATAATACTATACATACAACGCTATATATAGTCTAGTATTATCATTGAGACTGTGAATGGCAGAATAGTTAGCAGCAAGCAGGTGAATTCTGTACATTAATATGAATAGACATCTGACTATTTTACAGGATAGACAATATAAACATATTTAAAATTAAAGGAATTGAAATGTACATTGTGCCTTGGTTTAGTGTCTGGAAGAGTCCTGACTCAGTCAATTATAGATGATGTGCGAGGGCGGGTGTGTGTGTTTAGGGCACGGATGGCTAGGTTGTAAATCATGTTTTTAAAAAGTAACTAAGTAACTAAGTAATTAATTACTTTTGAAAATAAGTAATCAGTAAAGTAACGGGATTACTTTTTTGGGGAAGTAATTAGCAATTAGTTACTGATTACTTTTTTCAAGTAACTTGACCAACACTGCCAAAATCCGACTGTTCAACATGAAGTCAGTCCAGCTGTATGCGGCTGAAACTTGTAAGACAAACAAACCTCAAACAGAGAAATCCAGACATTCCAGAACAGCTGTCTCAGAAGGATTCTCCACATTCGCTGGCCAGACACTATCAGTAACATAACCTATGTTGAACCTGTCAACTCCCAGTAGAGGAAGAATCAGGAAGAAAAAGAAGAACGGACAGGGAAATCTGCGCTTTCACAGATAGCACTTTATCAATAAAGAAGTGTAGGAAGTTTTCACAAATTTCCTGAGAGGACTCGACACCAACAGTCTGTGGAGCATGAAGGACCCTGTCAATAGTCTTAAATAAGACATGAGGCTTACGACAATTTGACTGAATAATAGCAGCAAAATGTTTCCTCTTAGCATCTTGTACAGTCTTCTGATAGGAATTCCAGTAGTTTTGTAATATTTGGTATGACACCTGAAGTAGATCCTTCTTCCATTTACTTTCAGTTCTCCTACACTTTCTTCTGGCAGCACAGAGTGTCTTCATTCAGCCAGGGTTCAGATTTGGCTTTAACTTGCCTAAGTTTAAAAGGGGCCACCGAATCTAAAACAGTTTGGCAGACTGAGTAAAATCATGTACTCAGCTCTTCTGTATCATTACATATGGAGTCAGGAAGGCTGCAGTTCTGATTAAAAACAATAGAGAACTGACCAGCAGAGGAAGGGTTAAAAATACGACAGCACCTAGCAACAACAGAAGGAGGATTAACTTTGGTACAAGGAAGGGAAACCTCAAACAAGACAGGCTTATGATCCGGCCATACAATATCACAAACCTCTAAGTTAGAGATGGGTAGATTGTGAGTTAAAACAAGATCCAACGTGTGCCCATATTTTTGGGTAGGCACAGACAAAGGTTGCACAAGATCAAAAGAGTCAATAAGATTTAAAAAGTCCTTTGCCATTGGCTTGCCAGGGCAGCACACGTGAATGTTTAAGTCCCCAGTAATAAGGACATGATCATATTTTGGCATAATTTCAGCCAACAGATCAGAAAAGTCATTTAAGAAGTCCTTATTGTATTTTGGGGGTCTGTAACCCACAGCACAGAGCACTGTGTGACAGCGACCTAGCTCAAACACACTCAGTTCAAAGCTACTAGGTGATGTTGATAAGGACAGCCTTTAAAGGACATCCTTAAAATAAAAGTTTTATTACTCAGCGATCTAGTGTTCATCAATCCAAATCTGGTGGAGGTCAGCGTGTTCTTGGCTGACTGCGAGACCCAACACAGCGGCCGCAGGTTCTGTAGGTTTGCACCGCGCCGACGAAGATGAGGGAAAATCTTTCGCAGCTGGGACATCTGATCCGAGCCAACAACGGGCACCAGCCAGGCATCGATGGGCTCCAGAGAGCATGGAGAAAAGACATGGCGAGGCACAGATCCACGTTCGTTCCAAGGAGCGTCTGAAACGCTTTCGCTGTGAGGCTGGGGCCAGGGTCCGACAAAGGTTAGCTGGTATCCCAGATAGGATACCGCGCGCCGCACGCCGCACGAGGCCGCTTTGTAAGGCGCTCATATCGCCAGTGGCGAGACCCGTGTTGTAGGTGTCCTGGCGTTCACATCAGTTTTCTCTGATGGACTCTCCATCCACAAATGCACATTGGCCAAGAGTTGGGAATGTCTACTAATGTCCTTAGACTCATCAAGTTGCAATGCAAACCTCCCACTGAAGCGTATCTTCTCCAAAACCACACTTTTGATGTCTGCAGACATGTCATCAATACGTCTGGCAATTGTGTTATCTGAGAGCAGGACTTTTTCGGGGGCTATTTCTTTAACTGCATCAGGTCCGAGCATCTCATTCACAATGGCTTTGCAGGCAGGTAGTGTATTAATGTCTCTACTACGGTGTTGTTTTTTGGATTTGGCTATAAGTTCAGCGACTAAGTGGCTAGCTTTGAGAGCTCTTTCAGACACCTTTGTGTTTTTTCTCAGTAAAGTTGTTTCTCAGCGTGTTCAAGCAGGCAAACAAAATAGTCTCTGTTCTTGTTTTGAAGTGAGGGATGTTTTGTGTGGAAATGGCGTTTGAGCTTGCTTGGGACCATGGCACTGTTTGAGAGCTTTTCTCCACACACCAAACATAACGGAGTCGGTGCAGTCGGATCTCCAGTGAAAGCAAATCCGAATGAAAGATAACTTTCGCTGTATTGCCTTGAGCTCACCGTTTTTGCTTTCTTTTGACTAGCGCTCGTAACGGGCTCTTCTGGATTAGAATTTATCAAAAAGGAAAGTTTGAAGCAAACTTTCAAACTTTCCTTTCCTTTTCCTAGTTTTAAGACTATAGTCTTAAAAGTAGAGATAGTGCCTGTCTCCTAAATACAAACTGGAAGCTGGTTCCACAGAAGAGGGCCTGAAAACTGAAGGCTCTGCCTCCTATTCTACTTTTAAATACTCTAGTAACAAAAAGTAAGCCCGTAGTTTGAAGTACAGCAGGGGGTGCCACAACAGATCATTTGCCTCCTATCCAAGAATACTCCTCTGTCACACCATCCCTCTGCATGTCCTCCTTCAATACATCCTCCTCTGAAGTCTTGCTCTTTTCCTTCTGCCTGGTAACTGTATCTTCAGCCTCCACGCTCCCTCCTCTCCACATGCTCAATGCAGCTCATTTAGGATCCTGTCTATACTGCTCTCTGAAAATCTTCACCTCTGTCTCCTGTCTTTTTGTCAGTGCTACTGTCTCCAAAGCATACATCACATAAACACTCAGATATGGTCATTATGTTTGTAGCCTCTGCCACAGCCGCCTCTGTTAGGTGGCTGGTTTCTGGAACCTGTCTAAGGACTGGGACAGGGCTTTCCTGTAGTGCAGAGTTGGTGTGGAGCCAACTGGTCAATTTTGTTAGTGTGTGTACACTCGTTATTTATAGACACCAGGTCTATGAATAACGAGTGTAGAGGAACTTTGTAGACTCTCCATAGGCTCCTGTTGTTAGTCTTTTTCTTTTGTTCATTCTTCTGTTATTCACATTAGTATTTGTGTACTTTAGCAATGCCAGAGTTGACGAGTGGTGTAATCTTGAATGTCTGTTGTTTCATTGCAGTGAAATCCTGGAACATACGGAGCTGGATGGACAGATAAAGGTGCCCTGTCTGGGTTCTCTGCTGCCGCAAGATGAGCTGAAGCTGCTGGAGGAACAGTACCTGACCCACAAAGAGGTAAAGAGCAGCAGGAACTGATGCTGCTGTCGGGTCAACTCAGTTCTGTCCCCCCATGTTAAAACTGTTGAGGGTGGCTTCTCGCTTCGGCCTGATGGTCGGTTTTCTGCTGGGGTGATTACATAGAGAACCCCGACTCTATGATAACTCAATAGCGTCTGATTATAATTTGTAGAACAAATGTGAAGTGAAACGTTTTCTTTAGGAAAAGGTGAAGCTGTGGCTGAACACTGCCCTGAAGAAGGAACAAGAGAACTGGCTGAGTGGAAGGACACCCGAAATCATCGATGGTTATTACTTCAGTTGTCTGGCTGTAGACGTCATACAGGTGAGGCTCAGGTGAGACCCATTGTGCAGGTGAGGCTCGGTCTGTGTTAAGTTGATTAGTGTTGTGATGTTTGTGTTTTCAGGTGATGACCGGTTCCCTGTCTGAGTTCAGCTGTGCCATCAAAGACAAGAGAAAAGCTCAGAGGCTCACAGTTCAGCTTGAGAACTTCATGTACAGGTACAGTCGTACTATGTGGTTCGCTAATCTTGAACTTACTTTTTATGTTACGGCATCATTCCTCCCATGCTCACTGAACATTTACTACAAATATATAACTTAATGCTGTCAGCATTAATCTCGTTAACATGAAGTTAACGCCATAACGGCATTAACATGACAAATCTCCGTTAGCGAGTTAACGCGGATCGCCCCGTGCGAGGGCTGCATGGCGTCAATGTGTTAACGTTGTTACCTTGTTAACGCATTAGCACCGTGCAGCCCCCTGCACGGGGCGATCCATGTTAACTTGCTAATGGAGACGCAACGCAACAATAATGTGGTTATGGCGTTAATGTCATTTTAACGAGATTAACACTGACAGCACTAATATAACTATATTGTAACGTTTTCCACTTTAAATAAAAATGGTAGAGCTCAGCAATAAATTGTTCCACAAACTTATTTAAATAAAATTCTTCATAAAGCCTTCACTGCTTGTTCACATTTTCCATATTAAAATTGATCTTCAGTCAATATTTGAAGTCTGTTTTTGACCTGAAAATAATGCAGACATGTAAATGACGTCTGATTGACACCCAGATGTGTAACAAATGTGTGTGTGTGTGTGTGTGTGTGTTTCAGCTATGTGAAGTGTGTGGAGGAGTTTGTGAAGGGAAACCATGGTAATGTCCGCTCGGTGATCAAAGCTCAGCTGGTCTGCGAGCAGCAGCTCAGGTGAGGTCACCTGTTCAGTTCTCAGACACCTGAGAGTCTTTGAAAGTCTTCCAAACAGAGTGGACTAGATCACATGACCTGTCTAAGGACCAAGGATAGAGTAGGATTAGATCTACCTAACTTTCAGCACTACTTCTTAGCCAACAGGCTTCAATTTATCTCAGGATGGCTAAAACATACATCAAGCGACATGAATGCTTTAAAAGCATCCACATCAGCTCTCTGACAGCATGGGGGGAGTTTCTAAAATTGACACAGTCTTCATTAATCCCATGCAAATGTGGCACCCCGGTGAGGGAATGGCCACATTAATATTATTTTGTGTAAAACACTTCTGTTATGGGACATTTTTCATTACTATATGTACTCATTTTCAGTTACTTTAAAAGAATAGAAACACATGTAAAAGGGAGTCATTTTATGTTAGAAAGCAGTAAGGGCGGAACGTTGGTGGCTGCTCTAGGGTTTCGGGGTGCAGTAAGTGGAGCCCACCTTCTGCTCCTTTCTCAGACACGTTCTAGAGGAAAACAGAGATGCATTGTGTCTTCCTTACTCCACTCTTCACCTGCTTTTACAGGTTGGTAAATGGTGTTTGTACTGAAAAAGTTGTTTATTGTTACCACAGTTACCCATGTTAATGTGAATGAGAGAATTTAAGGCGGTCCGCCTGAGTTACTTACAGTGTTGTGCAAGTTACTTTGAAAAAGTAATTAATTATAGTTACTAGTTACTTCTTCAAAAAAGTAACTGAGTTAGTAATTGAGTTACAATATTCTAAAAGTAATTAATTACATGAAAAGTAACTATTGCGTTACTTTAAAAAAAAAAGTTTAACCCCCTGGGTCCAGGGTATAATTGGCCATTTTTAACTACTTTTGATTTTCCCTCCACATTTTACCTTTAAAAACTATTTACTTTGCCTTGTGTTAATTCCAGTTCTTTTGATTCTTAGGGCCAAGAAAACACGGCTCAAAAGTGGTCTTTTACTTTAAAAAATTATCTTTATTTACATTTTCTGGAATATGGAGACCTGAGCACACAGCACACAGCCCCAGGTCTGAAGCACAAACGGAAGCCTAGTTATTTATTTACTTGCTCTCATGTCACACCACACTTTAAGTTTCGATCAAACAGCCTAGTTGGTTTCACTTTCACTTCATTTTAGCTGCAAAAGCACGCTCTGCAACAGCATGCAGTTTCCTGACAGCACTTTTTGGCACAGAGTGTACTCAGAGTTAGGCCTTTCTCATATGAAGCAATATAATCAGCATATAAACATTTGATATGATAAATTTAACGTCAACACTTGTTTGGTATCATCCTTTTCAGCACAACGTCCCATGTCTGAATTTACAGTCATGTTTTCATTTTGACACACTGTATTAACACAATTGATCTATAATCAGACAAAAAACATAAAATCATAGTAGAAAAAGTTATTTTTTACTGTAACAACCACAAACATGTTGTCATGAAATGCTGTGTGGCAGGCAGGAGTAGGACCCAAGATGCAGGCGCTCAGACGCGAGGGATGAACTCAAAAAACTCAGCTTTATTTGCTGACAGGGGAAAAGCATACAAAACTAAACTGGGAAAATATAAACTTACACTTGACAGAGAGGCACACGAGGAAACACATAGCTTGAGGCAGTGGTTCCCACACACACAAACACATCCTCCAACCACACATACCCATATTTTGCTCCATTGCGGTTTATTTCACACCTCAAACATTTAGTAAACAATTAAGCAAATACAAGTAATCTGCAATAAGTTACAGGTAGTAATAAAATAAACTACTAACTCTTTTAGGCTATGTCAGCACCTACACGGGTATTTTTGAAAATACAGCTGTTTCGTCCACATGTAAACGGCATTTCAAATCACCGAAAACTGAGATTTTTTAAACTCCTTTTTTGCGTTTACACGCGGACAAGGAATACAGAGTTCGCCAATCAACGTCAAAGGTATAAGCCTTTTTTCACGTCACGCTGTGCGCCACGTTATTGTTTACATGAGGTGAATTGCAGAATGGGCGATAGAGACAAAATACTGTTACTATTAATCTGGCTATCTTCAGGTTTTACACGCTTAAATATACACACGCAGTTACTGTCCCTCCATTTACAAAGGCAGAGGCGTCACAGTGTGATTATTTTACGTGTAGTTGTTTTTTTTTCATGTGTAATAATAGTCAACATTGCTATCAATACATTTTTCAAATGGAACAGAAAACAAAAGCAGTGCACAGTAAACACCGGAGCCCAAGAAAACAGCCCAAACACAGTTCAGTTCAGGCAGCCGACCGTGCAGACGGCAATGGCGGCGGCGGCGTGGAAACAGATCAGGGGGCTGGCTGTGCGGACAGCGGCAGCGACGAAGGAGGCTTGGAGGCTGGACCAGACGAGGATGAAGGTTCGGAGGCTGGACCAGACGAGGATGAAGGCTCGGAGGCTGGACCAGATGAGGATGAAGCTGCTGATGGCTGGACCAGATGAGGAGGAAGCTGCTGATGGCTGGACCAGATGAGGATGAAGCTGTTGATGGCTGGGCGGGCCCCTCAGACCCTCCAGTGGAGACAGAGTGCTGGCCGGGCCCTCCGGAACCCCCAGCGGAGACGAGGAAGTGCTGGCCAGGCTCTCCCGAGCTTCCAGCAGGAGCAGATGCAGAGCCAGAGGGTGTGGGGACCCCTGGCTGAACATTAGGCTGACTAGGTGGGTGAGTGTGTGGCTGACCAGGGAACTGAATTGCTACAAGGGACTGAACTGAAGTCTGAAGTGGCACAGGGGACTGAACTGAAGTCGACTCAGCTAATGGTTCATATAGGGGTTTTTTTGTGTGTGTGTGTGTGTGTGCGGGGGTCTGACCTGCTACGAGAGACTGAACCGCTACAGGG